TCGGTCCGTCCTGGACCATTCTCAAGTCGATTGTGATGAGGGAAGTTGTTGCTGTTTCAGATTTAGCTACTCAGAACGAAGTGTCCATGTAGCACGGGCTATGGCGAGCCCGTAAACCGAGGGAAGTAGGTGATGGCAATAAACAGGCAAGAGAGAGGTGAGGAGAAGAAAATCTTCGAGGAAGCAACAGCAAGGCAAAAGGTAAGGAAGGTAAGGTGTAATAAAGAGAATAGTAGTAGGAATAAGAACATAAGGACAAAGGTAACTGCAGAAGGCCTATTGGCCCTTATGAGGCAGCTCCTATTTATAACCACCCAATAAGAAGGGGATTGTAAGCAAGGGATCAAAAGAGACAGAGGTCAACATCAGAGGTCAACACGAAGATAAACACAGAGGTCAACATCAGAGGTCAACATTAGAGGTCAGCACAGAGGTCAACATCAAATGTCAACATCAGAGATCAATATCAAAGGTCAACATCAGAGGTCAACACAGAGGTCAACACAAAGATAAACACAGAGGTCAATACAGAGGTCAACACAGAGGTCATCATCAGAGGTCAACATCAGAGGTCAACAACGCACCAACTTTATCTCAGGAAATGCTCGAAATATCGCTGAAATATAAGGAGCAGCCTTCAAGAGGGAACTATTATAAGTTTGTGCTGATGTTATCAGATCAGCCTGGCTGTGATGGGTGTTTTGGGCCTGCAGGTTACAAATACAAACAGCCTGATAGAGCAGGCAATCACCAGGGACGTCCATCTTCAGACCGCACTGAGGAAGTACGAAAACTTTCAAAATCGATTACTGGAAAAAAAAATTATTTTAAATTTATTGTTGCTCTAATTCCCTAGGTGTGTGTGTGTGTGTGTGTGTGTGTGTGTGTGTGTGTGTGTGTGTGTGTGTGTGTGTGTGTGTGTGTGTGTGTGTGTGTGTGTGTGTGTGCGCGCGTGCGAGCTCGCAAACGTCCGTGCGGGGCCACTCTGAACTTCCGTCGTGCTGTTCAAATATTGCGGGGAAAATATTTACTGAAAATACAAACATAAATGAAGTGTTTTGTTTTCATTTCCTACAAACACGTCAACTTGTTTTTGGACGCTGAGCCCAGCACCCAGCGCCCAGCACCCAGCACCCAGCACCCAGCACCCAGCACCCAGCACCCAGCACAGACCAGAGTATTTCACGTGTGAATATACAAAGTTTCTCCCACTAACCGCACCTCAAAGAAAAAAAAGCAAGCGAGAAAATACACCAGCAAAATAAAAACTGTTACCGTTCACACATGTAATTATCGGGCAGGTAACAAGTTTATTAAAGATATTTTGATTTACACTTTAACTGAATTAGCTGAATCTTGTCATGTGATAAATAAGTTACTTAAGGATAACACAGCACATTACTAAGATAAAGATTCAACAAGACACTATTGACATTTTCCTTATTATATATATATATCGCAGCCTGCGGTAAGTGGCCGACAAAGTGGCCGACAAAGTGGCCGACAAAGCTGCCATCACAGCTGGTAGCTCCGTTAAAATAAACCAAAAATACATGAAGGGAAAAAAAACACATTGCCGTCGACACATCAAGAGCTTGTAGAGAGAGAGAGAGAGAGAGAGAGAGAGAGAGAGAGAGAGAGAGAGAGAGAGAGAGAGAGAGAGAGAGAGAGAGAGAGAGAGAGAGAGTAGAAGAGAGAGAGAGAGAGAAAGACAGAGAAAGAACATTTCAGCAATATAGCAGTTATTGCAAACTACACTTACCCAGCGTTCATTCCTCTGCAATACCAATTAATATTCACTTTTTGCAACAAATATCAAGAGCGACGAACACATCAATACCTCGCTGGAATATCACCAAATAACACTGAGCTTACACGAGGCAAATGTCGTACGGATTGAACCATTTAAATATAAGGAATATATATTATAGTCCTGTTGACACTTATCTCACTTGCAGCCTGAGAGTAAAATATATGACACTGTTAATACAATATTCTGAATTAATAATACCGGAAAGAAATATATATATACCATGATAATACGACGGTAGGAAATAAATATATCTTGTATCCCACTCTGCTAAACGCTTGCCTCTTATCCCTTGGATACTGAGAAAACAGTCAGTGGTTAGTGAGTTATGAGAATTGCTGGCCCTCATTAATAACAACACCTTTAAGAGTAACAGCAACACCTGTAATTACAACACCTGTACCAAGCCTGTAACAAGCCTCCCCCCTCCCCCCCCACACGTGTCAGCCTGGCGCGCATCGCGGGACGAGAAGAAACACTACAACAAGAACTCCATCTCCACACCTCAAGCCACAAATGGACAAAAAGGTAAATGTACTTAACAAAGTCCAGTAAGAGTCTGAAAGCTCCAAGTTTCTTTCTGGCGCTTAGCGGGACCCAGGCGTGAGCGAGGGGCCCCCAGGCGTGAGCGAGGGGCCCCCAGACGTGAGCGAGGGGCCCCCAGACGTGAGCGAGGGGCCCCTCAGGCGTGAGCGAGGGGCCCCCAGACGTGAGCGAGGGGCCCCTCAGGCGTGAGCGAGGGGCCCCCAGACGTGAGCGAGGGGCCCACAGGCGTGAGCGAGGGGGGCCTCAGGCGTGAGCGAGGGGCCCCAGGCGTGAGCGAGGGGGGCCTCAGGCGTGAGCGAGGGGGGCCTCAGGCGTGAGCGAGGGGCCCCAGGCGTGAGCGAGGGGCCCCAGGCGTGAGCGAGGGGCCCCAGGCGTGAGCGAGGGGCCCCAGGCGTGAGCGAGGGGGCCCAGGCTTGAATTAACCCCAATTAACCACATGTTGTTTGTGGCCCAGTTTGTTGATATAGATTACAAACTACAAACGTTATGCTTTTGATAATTAACACATTGAGATGTTGTTAAGTTAGAGCTCATGTTTGATATCTTGTGGGTTACCTTACTGTAGAGTCTTGTTATTAAACCAGCAACTCTACATGTTCTTACATACATTTAAACCAGAAATATAACAAAGGTATTTTACAGAGCTAGAAATGATGTGGGAGAATGGTCCTGTGCATAAGAATTCTATTAATAAAGTTGCAAACATACAAAATCTCGAGATCCCTGTATGATAAAATACTGCCTCTAAAAATTGACTTTACTCTAACCTTCAATGAGTGGTAATGATCGATTTATCCATTTACTGCAATTAATTCATTTCTGGCTTTCCCTCCTATCGTCATCAATTTGACATGGCGATGGGGGGCTCCCATTAGTGCCGTTCTTGATGATATATTCATGACAAAATAACAATTTGTCACCGTGAAATATCCTCGTTATGTTGACATGCCATCAATACAGGGTGAATCACATCACCCTGTATAGAACTAGATAAATTTGAGAACAGACATAATAAAGGTTACTCTACAATATACTTTAAATCATAACAAAAACATATTAATTCCATTCGTTCTACGAATAACAAAAGATGAATACACACTGAAGTTCAAACTATAGGAACCCAGCCTTCTTAAACGACTTATTCATCACTCCTTACTACGATAAGGTAACAACACGAGGTATAGTGATTAGAGACTTGCTGGGAAGTTTTAGAATACGTAGCCCGCAGGTGTACGAAGAGCGGCAATAGGTTTACCACTTTGGTCGCCATGGTGTGTGGGCGTCTCTGCCCTCCCTGCTGTTGCTGCCTGGCTACATGTTGATGTGGCGAGCTTGCGATGGGAGGCCATCTTACCCCCCTGTTGTGAGGGTGAACTCCGTGGGCCTGGAGTTCACTGGCCATGCTGGATACCCGGAAGTCGAGATGGTTATGTGTGACATGCTCCGTGTGTCGGAAAATCCGACACCATTTAATATATCATACAGATAATAGCTGTGCTGTATAAACAAGTTACCCATAGAAAACGTAACTTGTAGTGGAATTACCGTCTATAGAAAACGGGATATCATCACCATATACCATTATAAATTCACCAGCTATTCTGCTGGGAATTATTCTTAAATACATTAGTCTTTGGACTTTACCATCATAAAACATCTTATATAAATTAACTTAATTATCAATATTAAAGTAGAGTAAATGTCACCCTTCTATCACTTTCTGACATGTGGACAATGTAAGCCAGGCGTCAGAGTGAGGAAGGGGGGCAGCCATAGTTGTGTCACCTCCGAGACGTGTGGAGCAAATTTGGCTCCTATCATATCTGGACAATGTCGGCCAGGCGTCAATAGAATGGAGTGTTAGATGCAGCCATTGTTTATACGAGACCAGAGGCTCACACGGGAGCAAATTCGGCTCCTGTTAATTTACTTGGACGTAGTGTTATGGAAACCAGAAGTGTACCATTATCAACACGCTGTCTACAAATTCAAGTTAAGTGTTCTTTCCGAAACCCATGTATCTTCATTTATGGCCATTAATGTCATTATATAGGGTGATCCGGTTAGAGCACGTGGAAGCCTCAAACTAAAAGTCAAGACGAGGATGCAAGATTTTGTGCACCAGTTACTGGGTGATGGAAGCTACCTCAAAGAGGATAATTTGGTGTCTACACCCTAGTTATACCTGGTGGACTAGCCTGCTGTACTATAAGATAAGGAACCTCTTCAATGTATGTAGTTAATTCTGTAGTTTGATTGGCTGCATATATATTAATTTAATAAACCCCCCTAATGTGTAGAGGATCGATTTGTGAGATTATGAGATTATTGCAGAAATACAGTCCACTTATCATTATACAAATTGCTATCGAAGTATATAAATTAACGTAAATATAAATTCATATAAATTAAATAAATATAAATCTCACAGGTCGGTTCCCACACCGTGTCCAGTTGGTGGCCATCTACGGTGTTCAACTTGTAAATGCTCATCGGGTTGTTCTCAAGTTCCTGGGGGTGGTGGAATACAGTAACTTCCTCCGACGTTACGAGGGACATTCGTTGCTGATGCCGGGTGGTGCCGACTCTGTGTCTATCTTGGATCGTAGTGGTGCCCTGACATGTCAATGTGCATAGGGCGCACCTGGAGTTTCCCGAAGACCTCCTCCGACGTTACTTCCAGAGGTTTGGAGCTGTCGTCAGTGTGCGGGGTGAACATGCTCTCCTTAGGGATGTATGCGGGCATGCAGACGAACATTCGTTCCTTCGGGATGCGACTGCGATCGGATATACCATCTTCTGTCCGGCTTATGGGGTACTACGTCAGGATGTACTATGCCCGGCAACCCCGTACGTGTTTCCGGTGTGGCCTGTTGGGGCATCAGGGTGCCGCGTGCACTGGGGCTCCGGTTGCCCCTGTCAACTTGTTCCGGGAGGATTTCCCGCCGCTCCCTCTGGAGGAGGACTCCGGGGGGGGGTGAGAAAGTGAGCGTCCCGTTAGCTGATGCGGCTCCCCCTGCGTCGCCCGACGTTCCTCCGGTTGATGCAGACCCTCCTCCGGGAGTTGCCGTGCCGTCGGATGTTCTTCCTGCTCCTCTCGCTGTCCCCGCTGCTCCCGTGGGCCTTCCTGGCGATCTCTGTCGTCGGCGCTCTTCTCTTCCTCGTCTCCTGCTACTGCGCCTGGCCCTACGCCCTCGCCTTTTTTGTAAAAAAATTGTAATGTTGTCATTTCTGTTCTGTATTCCCCTTGTGTTTGTAATTATTGTTGTATTTTGTGGTTTAGTAATTTTGTTATTTTTGTACTTTTGCGAGTTTGTGCTTTTTCATTTTGTACTTTTGTGCTCTGTTTTGTTCTAGTTTTTGTTTGCTTTTATTGTTTTTATCCGCATGTAAACAAAAAAAAAGTGGCAATATATCAACCCCGATCTTCCCTAAAACCGTTAATACTCTAACCTTTATTACGGAATAAGGAGACCAAACAAATAAAGTCATCAACAATAGCATTTAACAAACACAACAACAAGAGCCGTCGTTCTCCTGACAAACAACAAACAATACTTGCAATAAAGTCAAAAATGATAAAGGTAGACAAGTCATGTACTACAACCACGGGCTCACCATAGCCCGTGCTACTTGGAACTTATTGTTCCAGGTAGCAAGCCTTTAACAACAACAACAAGAACATGTACTACAACCCACTCCCTCGGCTACAGCAGAATTAGCCAGCGTATTGGCAGCAGAATAACAGTGTCACCAACCCAAGGGTGTATATTATGTATACACCGTATGTATACACTGGAATATTTCTGATAAAGTATACATAGGTGAAAAGTCACGAAACTTGAATTGGAGAATTTATGAAGACAAATTATACCTGGCGTGGTGATAACCTGAACAGCGTTTGTATCACACACACACACAGGAACCAAGAGCAATAACTCATCAACTTTAGGGACGCTAAACTCATCAACAAAGAAGAGGACGACATGAGGAGACAGTGCACACAGGCAACAGCCATCAACGACTGCAACACTGTCGAACAGAATGAGTGGAAAATTTAACATTGCTGTGATCAACCAGGCTGTGACTCATACGTCAGGCTGCGAGCAGCCGCCTCCAACAGCCTGGTTGATCAGTCCGGCAACCAGGAGGCCTGGTCGACGACCGGGCCGCGGGGACGCTAAGCCCCGGAAGCACCTCAAGGTAACCTCAAGGTAAGGTTGTCAAACCCACTAGCAAAATTAATACTTCAATAATAGTAATTGTAAAATAATTAATGACTTAATAAAAATGATGACTATTTTATAATTAATGACCTTCACCTCAGTGACCTCAATCCAGCTGACCTCACCTTTCCCAGGGTTAAAGGTCACTAACAATTAAATCATTGTTGTCAGAACTATGTTTTCTTGAACACCACATCTCACATTACAACTGTTTCGTTCTAACTCATCCCAGGCCAACAAATCTGACCTTTGACATCGTTAATACCTCGTCTCTCTGAGTTTGTTAGTAAAGACACTTCAGCATTAGCAAATCCAATAAGACCTACGAGTCCCATCTACAGCGCTTAGCAATATTAAGAATCACCTTCTGTGGTTGATTGTTCAATAAACCCTTGAACTATATGTTTAACACATCTCTAACCCTGTCCATGGAGGACAGAAGAAAATGTATATATCCTGGTTAGCATTGTAAATGTGTGGCCACGTCTGTGGTGGAAAATAATAAAAAAAAAATATTAAAAAAAAAACAGTCACTGTTGACCAATATTGTCTGCATAATCCAGAATTCCTGAACTTCGTGATGATATTACACAAGGAGCCTCCGTCCCCACCATCTCGCCTTTATTAAAAGCAAACTCAGCCGCTGCTCTGAAATTCACCAATTATCCACCACCAGACAGCACTCATCCACGGCTGCCATAACTCTTCACATTCTTTTCATGAAGAAACGAAAGGAATAACAGCTTCGGTAATCCGGGAATTCATATCAAACGAATCCATTACTATTTTCCATGAATGCTCAAGTCATCTATTACTATATTTGTTGAGTAAATATATGAAAGTATTTGTATAACCGAGCCTGAAGTAATGACTCAAGCTAAGAACATCTGTCGTAAACTACTATCTGCTTACTACCACAGAAGGCTGTGTCAGTGGTAACCATGAGTGGTCTGAGAAAGAGGCTAACACATGGTGCTTCAGAAACTCCTACGTTCTGAGCATATGAGCGAATTGTCTCCAGCGGCGCAGCACTCCGACGCAACGACACATCGCCAACAATTCGTTGTAGTGGTCAGCAGTTAGTGTAATTACAGAAATACAATGATAAAAACCCAAATATTAGTCTTTACATAACATCAACCATTAACCATAAAACAAAAGACACAGTTATATAACCTTAAGCCCCAACATACTATCGACACGAAGAATAATGTGTTAATGAAGTTAAGGCTGAAACTTTCCACAAAACAAATAAATATTAACACAGATAAATATTAACACAGATAAATATTAACACAGATAAATATTAACACAGATATCAACACTAAAGTGATTTTTTTTTATCCAATCACGTCACACATTTATAAAGAACTGAACCTGTGCGTACAGCAATACGATGTACGGACAGTAGGCTGCGTGCAAGAGTATTGAACTAAAGTCATATTGTACAGTCATTAAACAGAGTCCACTCTCCATTAGGCGCGGCGCTCACTCTTGCTAATAAGAACATATAAATTGGGGCAAGAGAAACAAGCCCATCGCATGACCGAGCTTCTCTTTTAGCTCAGTTTCAATTAAAATTAATTGGACTGTTTATGATGGAACCGGAGTTACCGGACCGTACTGACAGTCACTGATGCAGTCTTATGAAACTGTGTTATTAGACAGTTGGAGTGAGAGCTGTGAGAGCTCTGGCCATCTTCATGTGTAAAGGGGAGGAGAGAGAGAGAGAGAGAGAGAGAGAGAGAGAGAGAGAGAGAGAGAGAGAGAGAGAGAGAGAGAGAGAGAGAGAGAGAGAGAGAGAGAGAGAGAGAGAGAGAGAGAGAAGAGAGAGAGAGACCGAAGAGAGAGAGAGAGAGAGAGAGAGAGAGAGAGAGAGAGAGAGAGAGAGAGAGAGAGAGAGAGAGAGAGAGAGAGAGAGAGAGAGAGAGAGAGAGAGAGAGAGAGAGAGAGAGAGAGAGAGAGAGAGAGAGAGAGAGAGAGAGAGAGAGAGAGAGAGAGAGAGAGAGAGAGAGAGAGAGAGACTGAGACTATTTTTGAAGACTGTCAGAACACCAGCATACAGAGACCACTTCGTTAATGAGGTATTATATTAATACGCCCGAAATATACACTCCGCGAGGTACCTTGTTGCACGGAATACACTCAATAAAACCTATTTTATTGAATAACAGAGAAACTTTACGAGGCAATAATGTGTGTTTGATACGATCCACATTCCAATCACGTTAATTACCCTTATACAGGACCTACTGCAGTGGGTGAAGACTGGTATGCTGTACTCAGCTAGGTGTACTCAGCTAGGTGTACTCAGCTAGGTGTACTCACCTAGGGGTGAAACATACGCTATTAGAGACAGTCCCGCCTTGCGATCATCAACAGTGCAATACAGTGACTCTTTTTCACTCGTATTACTTATCATATCTACATTTCAAACTGTATATCTCATTGGCATCGACAACTTACTCATTCAGTTCTTTCCGCCCATTAACGATTCTTAGACTGAACAATTCTTTCTGTCATCTCTTATGAATCATCTGTGTTTCCAATTTCCTTTTATGTCCCACTTGTTTTACTGTTCTGTAATTTGAACACTGTTTCTTTATCTACTTTGTCAATCCTCCCTAGTATTTTGTACGTCGTTATCATGTCTGTCCTATTCCGTCCTTCCTCCAGTGTAGTGAAGTTCAGTTCCTTCAGTTTTTCTTCATAGCTCAGGAACATGAATCCTTGCAGCATATTATTGTACTTTTTCCTACTTATATTTTGTGCTTCTTTAGGTAAGGGTTCCATGCTGGGACAGCATACTCAGTAACAGGTCTCACAAGGAATGTATATGGCACTCGGAAGGATCCTTGTCCAAGTTTGTGGAGGATAACGGGACGTTGGTCAGTATGGCATATGCTGCCCTCGCTATCCTGCTGATGTGCGTGTGTCTCTGGCGCTACAGCTCCGGTTATGTCCACTCCTGAGCCGTTGTTTCTTTCGTAAGATGGAAGTTGCTTTCTTATCATCCTCCTGTACTGTATTTGAGGTCTTCTTGCTCCGCGTCCTGTGTGTGTGTGTGTGTGTGTGTGTGTGTGTGTGTGTGTGTGTGTGTGTGTGTGTGTGTGTGTGTGTGTGTGTGTGTGTGTGTGTGTGTGTGTGTGTGTCTGTGTGTGTGTGTGTGTCTGTGTGTGTGTGTGAACTAACCTCATTGTGCTTGCGAAGGATGAGCTCTGGCTCTTTGGTCCCGCCTCTCCACTGTCAATCAACTACAGATTCCTGAGCCTACTGGGTTCTATCATATCTACACTTGAAACTGTGTATGGAGTCAGCCTCCACCACATCACTGCCTAATGCATTCCACCTGTTAATTACTCTGACACTGAAAAAGTTCTTTCTAACGTCCCTGTGGCTCATTTGGGTACTCAAGTTTCCACCTGTGTCCCCTTGTTCGCGTACCACTAGTGTTAAAAAGCACACACACGCGCGCTTACGCGTGTACGCGCGCTCACATGTGGACGCGCGTTCGTGTGTACGCGCGCGCGTCGCCTATTGACGGTGGTGCCACGACGCTAACCATATGATTGACGTTTTCATGAAAGTTAATCAACTGTCAGACTTTAATCCACATCTTTCCATTTTTCTTATCCTCCACCATCTCTCCTCTAACATCTCTATCTTTCCCTATCACTTTTTCCTCTCTCTCTTGTCTGTAATCTCTCTTCCTCTCTTCTCTTCTCCTGCTATCTCTCATATCCTCTCTCTTCTGCTATTGCCCTTCTCTTTCTCTCTCTTATCTTTCTTTCCCTTCTCTTCCCGTTTCTCCTTATTCCACCTCTCTCTCTCTCTCTCTGTCTCTCTGTCTCTGTCTCTCTGTCTCTCTCTCTCTCCGTCTCTCTCTCTCTCTCCTCTCTCCTCTGTCTCTCTCTCTCCTCTCTCTCTCTCTCTCTCTCTCTCTCTCTCTCTCTCTCTCTCTCTCTCGTCTCTCTCTCTGTCTCTCTCTCTCTCTTCTCTCTCTCTCTCCTCTCTCTCTCTCTCTTCGTCTCTCTCTCTCTCTCCTCGTCTCTCTCTCTCTCTCTCTCTCTCTCTCTCTCTCTCTCTCTCTCTCTCTCATGCGGTCTCTCCTCTCTTCTCTTTCCTCTTATTTCTCTCCCAGTTGTATATTTACTTTCCTGTAATTAACGTTTTTTTATTCTCTTGTTCACCTAATGTCTCTTTTTATCTCCTCTTATATTCTCTTTTTCGTGGTTCAGTGAGTCTGTTTATTTTCGCCACTTTATCTCTCTTTTTTTCCTCGTCTCTGTCTAATTCTGTTTTTTAAATCTGTCTACCACTATTTTTCTCTTGCTTGGCCTCTGACTCTTTGAGTAATAATCTGTTGGCTAACTGTCACCATAATAATATATATATATATATAATATATATATATATATATATATATATATATATATATATATAGCTGGCATAACTATTATATATATATATATATATATAGCTGGCATAACATAACATATATATATATATATATATAGATATATATAATATATATATATATATATATATATATATATATATATATATATATATATATATATATATATATATATATATATATTATTTTTTTTTTTTTTTTTTTTCTAGCAGTCTTTCTAGTAAACATATGTTGTTGAATATGACCGAAAGGGTATGATTAATAATTCTAACACGAATCTTCTCAATATTTCTTACGTTTTTTCTTCACTGTCGAGGGTAATTGAAAAATTAACTCTCCAAAGTTCATTTTTTTTTACATTTTTATTTATGCTCTGACGCCTAGAAGCGTTTCGCAAGACTTCTCACATTTTCAAAGACATTTTTATGTATTCCGTTTCATGCTTTTGGGTGAGGTGACAGGATACAAATGAATGGGAAAAGACAGAACACGAAACAAAGGGTATAAATGTGGTGTACATTTTATCTGCTTGCTTCTGTGCAGGTCTGGGGTCTTGAAGTGGGTAGAATATAATTATGTGTTAATTGGCTGTTGATTACTGGTTTTGACTTTTTGATGTGTAGTGCCTCGCTGATGTCGAGCCTCCTGTTATCATTGTATCTATTGATAATTTCTGAGTTCCTTGTTAAGATTTCTCTGGTGATGGTCTGGTTGTGTGAGGAGATTATATGCTCCTTGATGGAGCCCTGTTGTTTATGCATTGTTAATCGCCTGGAAAGAGACGTTGTTGTCTTGCCTATATACTGAGATCTTTGGGGCTGACAGTCCCCAAGTGGGCATGTGAAGGCATAGACGACGTTGGTTTTTTTCAAGCCGTTCTGTTTGATGTCTGGAGAGTTCTTCATGAGTAGGTTGGCC